GTTATATATATATATATATATATATATATATAGACATACATATAGTTCTAATGCTACATATGTATAAATATATATATATATTAAACATCATTTCAATTTTCAGCAGAAATAGTCTATTCCATGATTTCTTTATTAGTTTGTGTGTGTGGGATATTGCCTACATGCTGTGCAGTAAGATAACATCACAATGACTAAATGTTAAAATATCCATAGAATACATGAACAACTATATAAAAAGTGCTTAAGTGCAAAAACATGGTATGTACCATTCTGATAAACTTGAGATGTCAGTGGTAGTTATATTCTAGCTTTTTGTATGTGTTTTGTTGGAGAGGGCAAGTAGATTTTCTTACCATTATGTCCCTTAAACAAGAAGTTTTTTTTTTTATTTCACAGCTCTTGTGCAGTAAAAATTGATGAAGAAAAGATAGCTTTGTTTTTTCTCCTGATACTGAAAATTTAATGATTTACAAAATAAACAATTTTTTTTCCAGAAAATCCAAGATAATGAGACTGTGGAAAATAGAAACTCCGAAAAAATAAATGAAAAAAAGAATAATACAAAGGAAGAAAATCCTAAAAAGGAAGAGAATGAGTTTGAACTGAAAGATTACTTTCCCGATGTTCAGTCATCATTAGAATTGTTTAAAAATGATCCACTTGTAAATAAACCAGGTAAATATACAAAATTATTTTAAAGCAGAACCATTAAAAATCAGAATGGGACTGTTTGTCATCAAACAATAAATACCTAATAGTTTGTTCTTACTAAAAGTAAAATATGAAGTCAATTAAACTTTTTTTACTGCCATCAGTAAGAGTAAGGCTCAAATACATTATTTTATCTCAGTTCTGTACTACCAGTTGTTTTCTAATAACTGTCATTGTGAAAAGTTCCTGACAATAGTAACTCTTTTCACGTTGTGAAATATCAGACCAATTTTAGGCTGAAATGGATGAGAAAGTGACACCATTTGGAATGGTTAAAAATGACATCAACAGCTCCAAATTTTCCTTTAAGGATATTACAAATGAAACGTTTTCACTGTGTGTAATTTAGATATATAATTTTGTATATTAGAATTAGGATAGAGTTTTTTGTATGCAATAAAAATGATATTGATGTCATTTTCAAACACTCCAAATAGTGTTACTTAAATGATTTAATGTGTAAATCTGGGTTCATGCTAAGTTATACAAATATGTAAATTAAGTTCATTAACTTTGGTTTTACTTTCATATTTGGTGATCATTTAAGTGAGAAATTTTAAATGATTCATCCAAAAGTAAGACTGAATAGTATCTAAGCTTCTACTGATTTAAATTTTTTTATGCCCTTAGTCTAACAGAGGTTCACTATGTTTTAGGCTTAGTGTATGGCTTTTGAATTTGCATCGTACAGCATTTAAGCTGTGTTAATTATTTCAATAATATTAATAAGTTTTACAAAAATTTAGTATTTCACCATGTAAATACGTCTATCGACTTTCTTAGTATTCTAATAACTTTGATCATGATTCACGCGTGCCGTGTTTGTTTGTGAAGTGAGGGGGTACTAATATTAAGACTTATGGAAGTTTACTGAAAGCATTTCTTGAATATTGTTTATTGAAATAAATAAGCTTTGCTCTGTGAGATGATAAATAGTCTTTTTAACTATTAGAATATTTCACACTTAATATATTTTCAATTTGAAACTTGGTTGTTTTATTTGTTTATGAAGCAATATACATTTGACAGCAAGAAGAAGACATTTGTAAACTAAAAAGAAGTGAAAAAAGCTGTTCAGTAAAGCATTTTGTATGTAATATTAACCTACGTGAATTTAGTTTCAGAGTTCCATTTCTTGTAATTGAGTATAGTAGTTTAGGTGATAAGATCAACTTAGTGATATACTGAAAACTGTGTAGAACTGATTTGTCCATGGGGTTAAAAGTTAACTCATTAATGCTTCCTTGGAAACTTTCATGCCACAGTTGGTACAAGTGGGAAATGACTCTCTACAAAAAACACTAGTTTACCAGAAGTTGTCCCCGAGAAAATAGTTTTAAAATTTATAACCTGTGAATAACTGATTAAGCAACAAACTTTTAAGTTGTAAGATTGTGATTTTAGATATTAATGTAGCTCATGAATTATAAATAAAATCTCAAACGTTTTATTTTGATACAAATTGATAATATATAGAATAGAAGTAAAGTTCTATGGAGATATGAAATTTTATTTAATGTATTTTGTAACAGGACTGACATTGCAGTAAAGCAGTGTACAATGATATTGTATAGGACACATTGTGTATACATATGAGTGTAGTTAAAATTAATCAACAATGTGTAAGGCAATTCTGATATTATTGAATGTCACAAAAATAACCAACTAATCAAAATTAGTTGTTCTGATTATTACTGCTTTCGATTATTCCAACAATCAATTAATCAAAATTATAATTAAGTCGGTTGTCATGAAAATGATCAACTGGTCCAAATTAGTTTCTGATTATTACTATTTTTATTATTCCAACTATCCAAATAATCAAAATATTGCTTATACTTCTTTGTAATTAAGCACGAAGCTCTGCCAAATTCTGATATGATATCTTACCTCCTCCTCGCACATAATAGCTTTTCTTGACTTGTACTGCCTCTATGTGCACAAATATTTGCTTGCCATTAACCTTGATACTCCCACCTACGCTCACATGAGTATGCGACAACCCTCTACCAATAGGAATATGACATAACTCTTAGCATAGCTGACTCCATCTATATGACCTAGCTCAACTTCACTTCTAGATTAGCACTTGGTGTTTAGACGTGTTTTTCACTCAAGCTTTACTTACGGAATTTTAACCATTAACTTGTTGTTTTAATGTACTACACTTCAGTTCTCTAAGTTTTCATTTGTACATGTGACTAGAGGGAAAGCAACTAGCTGGTAGCATCTGTCACCAACTTATTAGCAAATATCACTAATCATCCAGTTCTACATGTGCGTGTGTTTATACAGACACAGGGGTAGGATAAAACACGCTCCAACTCTTTGTATCTTTAAATGGAGAAAATGTGGTAATGTGATGGTTTAATTGAATTTGTCTGTATGCATATATTATTGTATTTTTCAGAGAAAGATTCTAAAAAGACATCTGTCAGACTTCCAAAGAGAGCTCCCCTCTTCCAGTGGCTCAGTGATAAGAGTGAAAGCTTATAATGTTAAAAACCAGGTTTTGATACTCGTGGAGGGCACAGCATAGATAGCCCATTGTTTGTTTAAAACCTATGATCTCACTGATAGGTTTTTTTGGTCAGCTCTTGAAACCAATCTTTGAAGCAGGTTTCCACCATCAACATCACTTCAACAATTAGAATATTGGATTGATAAATGGGAAAAAATATTGTCTGATTCACAACATCTTGTTTCTTCAATTTCACATCTTTTATTGTTCAATCATGAAAAAATAACTTATTAATAAATAATATGTAGAAATTTATAGGTTTTTAAAATATTTTGTCTAACCCTCTGTTTGTATATAGAAAGTTGAATTCACCCTTAGAGACAATATTGCAGTAAGGAAACAGTAGAAGTTGTCTAGTTTTGATCAGTCTAAGGAATCTGAATCTGCATGATGACATTCTGGCAAACTATTGCAAGCTTAGAAAATTAACCACTTGTGTGCCAATGTCAGCTGATAATTTTGCAACATTGAAAAGTTTCATTTTTCATAGACATGCCTGGTTTTGGTGATTTTTATTATTTTCTTTGGCACCAAAATGGCAAATATGAACAAATAATAATAGCTCCTACATATATTGTATGTACAGGTAGAAGAAATGTTTAAAAACATTTACTACATTTATTTGGTTTTTGTCTGGTTTAGGTGTCCCCAAAAAATGTGATATTTGCTGAAGTACTAAAAGCCATGTCTTGACATTGTGGTTGAGTTCAGATTAGGATAATAAAGATATATGTACACTTTACTGTTTTGTAAGTAATACAACAGCATTTTTATTGTGATAATTGTCATTGAAAAATGTTTCACTTTTAAATGTTTTATATTGAGAAATTAGTTGTTTGAACACTATCTTGATAGCCAGCAGTTGGGGGTGGTGGGTGGGCTGTATGGTATTGGGCATGGCCCAGTATTCGGAGTGATGGATTGAAGGTATGATCTATGATATGCCACTGAACACACACACTGCATTTTCAGCTGTAAGTACATTATAACCATGACAGTCACTAATTGGTTAAAAACATCTGCGTAGGATGCAGATGCTTTTGATTTTCTTATCCTTTCTCTGGTTAGCAATGTTAAATCATGGATGGCTGTGCCTGAACCTTGGGTGTTTAGCTCACATTGAAAATACCAAATATTAAAAGTTGGAATTGAATTTGGAGAAGGCATGTAAATGCAGATATTTTCTGCTCCACTAATGCTACAAGTCCATGATTTTTAATTACTGTATCAAACTGAGATATCCCACTACAGTATAATTTTTCTCGGAAACATGGGCAGATATTATTTCTCTGATGTAGTGAATAACATTTAATGTGGAAAAAAAAAAGAAGTTATTTTTAACCGCCTTTCATCTTTTGATATCAGGTAGTAAATTTATGTACACTACTCATGGTTGGACACTCCTCAGTGCTGTTGTAGAAGCTGTGGTTCAAGAACCCTTTGGGGTTTACATGAGTAAGCTGTTTCAAGAACTAGGCCTGAAGAATACTTTTCTCGATACCAATGACACAATTATCTACAATCGTTCAAGGTATGTTGTTCAGTTTTTTCTCATTGAACAGCTCCAAAAAATTAATTCCCTTTAATGTATAATTCAGATGATGTAAACTATTTTTCTGAAAGCTAGTTCAGAGCCAATACCATCTCAAGTACTATTTTTAAGGTTTAGTAATTTTGTTAATCTCTGAATTACTTAGAATTATTTTGGTTGCTGTATTCAGTAAAATTAATCTTTAGAAACCAACCATTAACAGTAGAGGTTTAAATTGAAAGTGTATGAATATCAATTAGTATATTAAATATTGAGCTGATTGAGACAAATAAGTTTACAAAAATCAAGAACCTTTTTTCTTGTTACAGATAGAAATAATTCAGGAATTCGTTTCTGAACTAGAACTTAAGAATTGGGTATGAAACAGTGATTACCTTTTTTTCTCTTTAAAACAGGTACTATCGCCACACCAAAGATGGCTTAATAAATGCTCCATATGTTGACAACTCCTACAAATGGGCAGGAGGAGGGTTGCTTTCAACAGTTGGGGATCTACTGCAGTTTGGTAATATTATGCTATATAGCTTTCAGCATAACTCAAATAATAATAATCCCCTGCCTGGATATCTGAATTCTGAAACTGTCAATCAGATGTGGTCTCCTGTTACTGAAAGTCAATCAAATAATTGTTACTATGGGCTGGGTTGGCTTGTGGTGCCTGAAAACCAAAGATATGGTTGTTGCTTTCAGCAGAAACTGATTTGTTTCCACACAGGTTCAGCTGTTGGAGCAAGAAGTGTTTTATTGATTGTTCCACGATCTTGTGATATGAAAGATACTAGAAAGTGCAAGTGGACAAACCCACCACAGGGAGTGATTGTGTCTGTTATTGCAAACTTAGAAAATGTTCCTCTTAGGAAAACTGCTTTAAAAGTGGCTGGTGTGTTTGAAGACGTAACTGTTTAATGTAAAATTTTTTTTTGTTTGCAAACTTCAGTCAGTTGTTTCTATATATTTTTTTTTAAACAAACATAAGTTCATAAATTTGATTGAAAATACTGAGGCTTTTATAGACTTTTTAAAATATTGAACTACGTGGTTTTAGTAAATATTATTAATACTACAATATTAAAATAAATTTTCTAGTTGACAATCATAAAACTTTCAAATTTACAAATTTTAGTCATTTATAACCTTTGTAATGGTTTAATAATTCAGTGTATAAATTATTGGTACTACTCTAGATTTTTCAAGATGGTAGAGATGAACATAAAATTATTTAGTGACTTGTTTTGTATAAATCATAAAAAATGTGGTTACAAGGTTTGTAAAACAAATTAAAATGAGGAGAGCATTTCTGATGTTCTCGAAATGAATTTGATATTTTTAATTGACTTGAAGATAAAGCTTTTTTTACTTTGGATTGTGTTCTCATCTTACTGTAAATTTTTTCTTTTTTAGCTGATCATATCAAATTCACCTATATGAAAATTTTAATATTTTTGCTAAAAAAGTGAAAACAGATTGGGTAAGATTCAAACCTGCGAGTGGATAAATTCTTTAGCCAAACAAGTCACCAAGTCTTTTAAACGTTACATTACACAGTTCTCACTTAATTTATAGGTAAGGAGGAAATTTTGGTAGGACCTTTCATGTATGCCAGATGGCTTTTAAAATAGACAATTTGTTCATTGCCAAGCTCATTTTTGATGACAAATTAAGATTTTTAAGTGTATAAATGTTTAAAGGTGACAGATCATTTCAACACGTTAGAATATTTCTGAAGGACTAAAAATTGAGACCATTCAGGACTTAAGACTAATGACTCTTCTTACTGGGCAGATGCTTTAATAAGTCAAATTCCAGGGCCCATTAAATGTCACACATCTCAGTTCATTGACTGGGTAAGACGAAACTTTGAAAGGACTCATCTTTTTTTATCCTTCCTATTGTCACTTTTACAAAGCATGGTATATTCTACAAGAAGAAATAAAGTTGAAGTCTAACCTGGTAGAATACAAATTAGCCTTCAGTACATATATATGAAGTTAAATACATCTGTTTGCATTTGTGATTTGCCAAGGGGATTAGGGCTAACTATAGGGTCCACATTAATACAGTTTGAAAGAAGGGATACAATTCTTGTACATCTTATTGTGAAGAGGATCTGCTAATAAGAAAAAGCCTTTTTGGTGAAACTAAATATTATGGCAAATATAAATTATGAGGTTGAAAAAATTATCTAGGATTGCATTTTAACAACCTTGGAATGGGCATCACCTAGTGGTTAGCATGCAAGACTATGAACCTGAAGAATTGTGGTTTGTCTCTCATTGCTGCAAGATCACGTTCTGCACTCTGGGTGTATTATGAGACTGATGGTAAAAAATCCAACTATTTGATTAGAGTAACCGATGAGTTGGCAGTAGACTATTCACTGGCTGGCTTCTTACTGGTTTATCAGATAAAAATTAAGAATGGCTAGGGAAACTAGACCTTGTGTTGCTTTGCATGAACATCCAAAACAACCACCCAATTTAATCTTGTTTTTATGGTTTTTTGTATGAAACTTTTTCTTCATTGCCTTTTTTCAAATATTATTGCAGTGTCCTGTGGCTCCTATGAAGCATTTAATTCCCTGGCTTATCTTATTTATAACCTGAATTTGCAACAGCAACAAAAAAAAAAGTGGAGATGTTTCTAGCCAAAATGATTACACATATACATCATAAAAAACTTATTATTTTGTTACTTGTTCATGTTTTATGTTGTTGTGAACTACCGTTACATAATTTTTACATTTATTTTATTATTAATTATCAGTCTTGAATTTTCAGAACTAAAGAAACAGTTTCCATGATAGTTTTTAATTTTTTTTAAATCAGAAACTATTCTGTGATATGTGTAGAGACAATATTTTGTAATCTTGTTTATTGTCACACAATGGTGCCAATCCTGTAGTGTGGTAAAATGTAAACATAAGAATGGGTGCAAGTTTAGGTTTGTTGATTTTATCTTGATACAGTAATCTTTCTGTAGAAGCAACTTTGATGAAATAGAATCACTTATTTCATTTTTAACAGACTCTTATAATTTGTTGAGATTTCAAGCACTAATTTCAAACCAGTAACGGATTTTGTGTCTATTGGCTGATTAATTCATATTCCTTTAAAGTATATACACAGGGTAGGAGTTTTATATATTATTTTTTTTTGTAAACGGTAAAAAATATTGGGGTTATTGATGTGAAGAATCAAGATGTGTATTGGGAATGTGAAACTATTTTTGTTTATAATTTCATACTGGACCACGAGATGGTAATATAATTTGTATTCAGTATATTGCAGTTTTGCACATATACATTTTTGTTGGCTGCATTGCTGTTGGTTAGCCTATGCAACCATCTATTCAACATTGTGAAGCAATGGAATGCTGATATTTCTTCAGCCATGAAGATAATACACACCTAACTGATAAAGATGTATTTGTAGTAGTGCGATGAAAGAGGTGTGGTAAATGGGCCAGACAGAAAGTGAGCATGAAAGACTGACACTCCTGGAAGGTGGTTTTACAATGTGTGTAATCTCTGTTTGAATTACAAAAGATACCTCATAATTATCATACTGAAGATGAATGGCATATGAAATAATTGCACATTTCCAGGTGCTGAATCTGCCACAGGGAGGATAAACACAATGGCTTAACTAGCAATACTCAAGTTATTAAAGTAAACCTTTGTTAGTGAACACCATTTGCCATTATTCCAGATCTATTTGATTTCTGCAAGGACGTTACAGAGGTAAAAGCAAACACTTAGTGAACTTCAAATATCAAGGAAGTGTGGAACATCTATAAACACCTATGGGTTGACAAATGCTTTAGAAATAGAATTATAAAGCACTTCAACAAATATTTTGATATATTTGTTAAATGCTTATATTTCAAATGTAATACAATAAAATTTGTATCTGACATTATTGTGCAGTGTGCACTTGTTTGTAGGTTTCATAGCCAAATGCATATTTTCATTTGAAGAAATTCCAACTGCTTAAATGTAATCATAGCAGTTTAAATAGCAAAAATAAGGGTACCCATGTTGTACAACACAGGAAAAAAACTTTGGAATATGGGGGAAAATGGTAAGGATGAAAACTTTATCCCCTTTTTTCAGTCTTAACCACTTTGCTATGGTTCCACCTATGTGTATACAATTTTACATGGAAGGGTGGCACATTATAAAATAACTACTTAAGATAAATGGCCCATTATATCTCTACTGCCTGTAAGAAATACATATTAGCATTAAGTTTAACAAGGAGCTATCATTTGGTAAACCTGTTCAAGAATTCAGTTATTCTTTTTTTTTGTATCTGTTCCCTGGTGGGTTAGCAGTAAGTTTATGGACTAATGACATAAAAATCTGAAGTCATATTCCCTGCAGTGGACGGAATGCAGACAGCCCATTGCACAGCTTTACACTAATAAAACAACACAGTCATGTTCACTGTTGAAGAGATCTGTAAAGTAACAGATAAGTATATGAAAGTAAAAGGTGTTGAACTACCACTTATTAAAAAAAAACATCTTTAGTTACAGGTGCTGATAAACCCGTAAGAGTATATAGTGTAATTATAAATTAATTTTTTGGAGAAAATTTGTCGATTCACCTGGTAGATTTTCAGGGATAATACACGCAGAATTACAGTAACAGCTGTATCATCTGGCATCTTCATATCTGTAAATTTCAGTATCTCCAACTACAAATGCACATTGTAGCTTAGTGGTGCTGCTGTAGCTTTGTTTATGTACTTTCCCATTGGCAAATTTCAGTGTTAGCTACCTGTACTGTGATGCACATTTAAAATCTTATACAGTTCAAGGTTTTTTTTACAACATCTATTATTGTTTAAAACTGTTATTGTTATATATGATGTAGAAATACTGTACCTCAGAACATTAACAGGATGTCAAAATTTTTCCTGTAAAATATTGTAAGGAAAATACTTTCGTAACCAGAACTTTCCCCTATCCAGCACCACCCAGGTCTGGCAGATGCTAGATAATAAAGCTTTTACTGTAAATAATTAACATATCTCAGTTTAATTACCACTAGTCACTGCTTTAAAAGAGAAAAATGAGATTCAGCATTTCTTTAAAGAAAAACCCTTTTATTTACATTTTATTGTGCTTGCAACAATATATATAACGACTTTTAACAATTCACTCAATTTCACCACTAGTAAATAAAAGACTGTGCAAGACTAGCAACTGGAAGAGCTTGTTGATGGTTAATAACAGGACTTCTAATTATTAACATACACCAAACCTCAAAGCTCTAAAATTGAATAGTCATCCAGAATTAAGATTTATGAATCAAATGGTTTTAGCAGAATATCATTCACACATCAAAAGTGTAAATTATTTTGACCAATATATGTTTATACCAAAGTTGAAATTTACAGGTAATACTTCTGAAAACTAAGAAACTAATATATTTGTAACCCTAAATCCAAATCTCAGTTACCATGAAATACAATCATATATAGAGGAAAATACATGTATAATATGTTTATAACAGTCTTCTTAATAAGACATCTTGCTAGTATCCTTGAGATTTGAGCATATGACCAATGTGCTTCATATTTAAGTCACTTGGTTCTCTACAGTTTTATAATAACTCAAGAATGAAGGTCCAGTGAAAATGAAGTAAACAAAACATAAGTGCGAGACATTTAAAAGTATAAAGCTTCAATGTGTTTTTCTCTATGTTCCATTTCACAAATGGAAAGTTCTATCGAAACTAAAAAGGAATAGCTGAAATTTTTGGCTACATCTAACCTACATAAAAGCCAGTGTGTATCATGTTACACTTGATTTCTAGAAATAGGAGGAATGATAAAAGCCGAAATGCATTTATTAAGATAGAATAGTTAGGTGTGTACCGTGAAACCTTATAAGTATAGTGATTGCTGGTATAATAAGCCTAGTAAAGATGTAGTATGGGATCACCTAGCCTAAAATTTATCATGAAAGTAAAAATATCGATTCAGTTTTAAACTTGAATCGTTTCTGAATTAAGCTATTTTCTATTATATCACAAAATTTTTTAATGAAAACTAACCTTTTTAGTTAATGGAGACTGAATTAAGAAATCAACAAATATTTTTCCAGTTTTGTTGTCTATATATATATATATATATATATATATTTCATTTTATACTTTCAGTATATAGACTAATAACAATATTAGGTTATACTTTTGTTGCTAAGCGATATGACATAAAAGCCATTGTTTGAATGTAGTGCTGTTACTATTAACTTTTTTTGAGAGTTTCAACATTGCAATATCTTACCAACACACAGTTAAGTTTAAACACAGTTTCCAACACTATAGTTTATTATACAGCTGAGGTTTTGAGTAATAGTTTTGATTTATTCTAATATATATTTCAAAGAAAAAAAAGATAATTGTTTATTTATTCTTATTTAATTTTCACAAGACTATTACAAGTGGAAATGTTTTTAACATGAATGATAAACAGCATGCAAGAAATTTCATAAGTAACAACTACTTATGAATTTACCTAATTTTTATTACTTGCAGTTCCAGTAATTTTTTTCTTTTTAATGATACTCATTTACTGGAACTCAGATGAATAAACATCTTTAGTTATTGTAAAACTGTACATCTTTTTTCACAGAAGAAAATCATTATTTTGATATTCCACATGAGTGACATTGTAATAATTTTTTAAAAGTACTATTCTGTTTTAAAAACTAGAAACAATTATAGGAAGACAAATTTTAATACTAATTTAGCAAAATGTTTTTCATCCCCCAACGTTCAAAAAATTACTTTTTTACAACAATTATTCTATAGTATTCAGCCATCTATTTTAAATACCAGAGGTCTGTTCAAACAGCTGAATCTCACTAATATATTTCAATTTTAGTACAAAGTCAATTCAACAAATTGACCTGATATTATTAGGCTTGACATATTCCTAATTTGTTTTGTTGTAAATAGAAACCTTGCTTTTCTGAATAACTCTGATATAACAAGTCATGTTCACCTGTTTTGTCAGTTAAATATTTTGAAACTTAATCATACAACCAAAAAAGTAATAATATACATAACCTCATTAAGTTGCTCTCAGTTGGATGTTTAAAAAATAAGATGAAAAAAATAATTCAATTATCACAAGAACAAGAATGTTCCATCCAAGTAAGTCAAAATTATACACTAAATTTAACATTTTTGTACTAAAACAAAATTGGATATAATAATCATAATAATGCAATACATATAATAAATCAAATTTTAGTAGTTCTTTTTTCTTAGCAAAAGTATTTGAAATACTTTTACCCTAAACATAAAATCTAGGATATTTGTTTCTTCAGATTTTACTGATGTCTTTCAATTAATAGTTAAAAATTCACAAACAACAAGGATAATTTTGGAGAATAATCAGAAGGAATATTAACAAATTTGTTTTAAGTTTAAAATAACAGTCTCAATAAATTCTATACAATCACTGAAATTTCACAATAGGGTTTAAAAATATTGAAATAAAATTTTTTAACCAAATGCTCAATAAAATCAATAGTTTTGGTTACTACTGAAAGTGAATAGTAAGACAGAGGGACAGGGTATTTCTTCTAAATACTTTGGACTGTGGTATCAAACATTATGTTACGAAAATCATTAGAAAATGCATCTTAAAAATGTTCTGTTTCAGAAGTCTCTCTTCAAATGTTATGGCTATGACATGGCACTTATTATAGCTATTTGGCAAAATTTGGTACAGTAGTTGTCTTTCAGACTATAACTAATGCAAAATATTGTCACTGAATAGATTAAAAGCTCACTTTCTTGAAGATCGAACAACACTCAACTTAGGTTGACAATTTGCATTATAAAATTAATTTTGCAAGATCTCTAATAAAAGCCAATTAGAACTTACAAATAAAGATAAATTAGCATGCACAAAAAAAAACATACAAACAAACCTCTAAATTTGAATGTTACATAACTTTGAATCACAGTGATAATTTGACTGAAGTTAGTATACTTAGCCACTTTTTAAATATTGATATTTGTAATATTAGTATTACTTAATGAATCAGTATTATTATATTTTCATATGTTATAATAGTTTTTTAAGCTTTAATGCCTACTGTGTAAAATTGTGTGTATGCCAATAGGTTATAAAACAATCACAAAATGAAAATAAATTCTCAATGTTTACTTTGTAAGCAGCTTTAATTAATACTGCATGTATGTCACCATAGTGTTTATGTAATCATACCTTAAAAGCGTTACTAAAAACATAAACAATTCAGATTTATGTGGGTATGATTTGTCAAAGATAGCTTGTTACAAATGAATGTAGTGTAGGTAGTTCAAAAGTCAATTCCATGGCACTAAGAACATTATGCAACTTTTTTAATTTCATTATACAAATATTTTTAATTGTGAATCTTACCATATTTTTATTTTAAAAGTTCAAGTTATTCAACAATTGATGGTATGACTTTTTCTTTTACTGCAGAATGTTTTTTTTTTTACTTTTGCAAACTTAAAGTTTTATTTATACAACAATCTTTATAAAGTGAAGCATATAATATTTTGCAACTTTTTAAAAAATAAGAAATGCTCAATTACTTTTCACACTATATTGCTAAGCAATTAATTTTAGCTACTACTTTTTCCTACTGTAAATTTTTGAATTTCTAACATGCTTACCTTGAACACTAGTTTTCATCTGACTGAGCTTACTAGGAGACCGTTTTAATTTACTAATGCAGATCTTAGTATAGATAGGATTATTACATCGAATGTCTAACATGCTTACCTTGAACACTAGTTTTCTCTTCATCTGACTGAGCTTACTAGGAGACTGTTTTAATTTACTAATGCAGGTCTTAGTATAGACAGGATTATTACATTGAATGTCTAACGTGCTTACCTTGAACACTAGTTTTCACCTGACTGAGCTTACTAGGAAACCGTTTTAATTTACTAATGCAGATCTTAGTATAGACAGGATTATTACATTGAATGTCTAACGTGCTTACCTTGAACACTAGTTTTCATCTGACTGAGCTTACTAGGAAACCGTTTTAATTTACTAATGCAGATCTTAGTATAGACAGGATTATTACATTGAATGTCTAATGT